AGGGAGTGTACATGGTGGTTAAGTATGCCTCTTGACCAGTCAAGGAGGAGAAGGGATCCAGATTCCTGGGATAGTGCCAAATAAAATTTTAAAGGCGGTGGGGTTCCAGGTTGGAAGGGAACATTTTTGGAAGCAGGTTTAGCATGAGCCAAAGGTGGGGTTTGGTGGGCAATTCACACAATACAAATCAAGGCTGTTTGGACAGCTAGTTCAGGGTGAGAAGTGAAACAGAGATTTGTCCTGCTATGGTTATGGAACCTGTGATTAGGTAATAAACATGCAAACAGTGACATGACCTGCTAGTGGCTAAAGTCACACTGATTAATTATTGGAGGTTCCTGATTAATGGTCTGAATTCTAGGCACTGGACAATCAAACTGGCACCCTGGGATACCTATTCAACTCCAGTTAGTATAAATGAATCAGGTGTGATCCTGCTTCCTTTTCTGGTTCTCTGCCTTTTGTTTCTGAGATGACTTGAAAGACCTGTTTATTGTACTTGCAAGAACATAGAACCTAGCTGGACCCAGGCTGACCAAGATTAGTGGTGTGGAGGAGCCATGAACTCAGTGGAGGCAGTTTCACAGCATAGTTGGTTGCTCCTTCCCTTTGAATGACACTCTGTCAATGTGAACAGATACCCCCTCCTGTAGATATATTTGAAGAATAGTCCGGGGTGCGGGGTGTCTCCTTAGTATTAGTTAATATTTCTTGATCATGTTGCCGAACTCCTCTGTTGACATGGTTACCCAAAATGGGCCTTTGGGCCTAGAAGTTGCTGGTTCTGTTATTAAAGGCTGCTCAGTCCTCTCAATTAAAGATAATCAGAATTCAGTTTCAAGGAATAACCTGAGATGGACATTCAATACATCTGACCCTGGAGAGCAGAAGGGGAATGATCACATGCTCAGGTTTCATAGTCCTGTGCCTTATTGGATTGGTTGTGAAGTTTAGAAATTAGGATTAAAAGTGGATTATTCATGCAGTTGAATATGCCTTACCCTGTGCGGCTTGCATTCATTCTTACAATGCGTAATGCAAAGCTTGCTAGTGCTGTGCGGAATTGCTTCTCTGCGTGGCCAGACAGCAAGTAAAAAGGCTAATGAGCGGGAAAGACATGGCCCAGAGCAGCCGTGTCACTAACTATAATAGAAGGTGCCTGTTTTAGCGGAACTCGGAGGGACTTCAGCCTGCAGCACTGCAAAGATAGACTTTTATTCTCTTGCAACATTATACTCAGCAATAGTCCTTTGCACGGTGGCTGTGATGGCAACACCAATTGGTTTGGTGACAGATGTTTCAGTTCCCTCCCCCCCAAAAAAAGGGGGGGGGGAAGAAAGGAAAGTGTGCAATATATAATGAGTGTCCATATCATGAATATGTCTTTTGGTCTGATACTGGCCTGGCAGCTTTCTGCAACTCAATTTTTCTGTAGCTAAGCAATACTGAATAGAGTATGAAGCTCCGCACAGGGCTCCCCCCTCCCCTTTTGCTGTGAGAAAAAATTCTGAAAAGACTGAGCTGTGAGAAAACATTTCTGAAAAGCCAGATACCATGCTTGCATGTCTACCTACCTACCTACCTACCTACCTACCAACCTACCTACCCACTACATTTGAGTTCGAGGCAGCTTCCGGGTAGGGGGAGGTTGATCCATTTTATTCTCACACATGCTTGTGAGGATAAAAGGTAATTGAATTGCTTGGCTTGTTAAAACTATCTCCCCCCCCCCAATTTAAGGAATTAATTTTCCCTTCACAGCTTCAGACATCAGATAACGCAGGAGGCCGGGTCATCTTATCGGTATGATAGTGACTCGGTTCAGTTTAAATATTTGTGCAAATGAAAGTGGCTGTTTAATTGATGTGATTATGGAAGCTGCATTGCAATTGATTAGTCTTGGGTACAGCAGGGCCTTGTTTGTCCACCACTGCTCTAAACATTCTTGTGGTAGTGCTACCGACACAGAATAATAGTAGTAGGAGATAATTATATTGGTTACACGGCTGTAGCTAAATCATCCAGGGTCATTTGTAACTTTTTTTGTGGCAGAAAGACAGTATTGTTCCACTGGTGGAAGTGCCTTTTTTGGGTGGAAAACCATCCGGACATAGGTGGTAATGTCGCTTTTCATGCTGCGGTAGCCAGTAGATAGGTTGAAATGTATGAAAATTTGAAAACGTTGAAAGAAATTGTTTTTCCATTCTACTGTTGGGAGTTCAACCGCTAAATAAGTTTTAATTTAACAAAAGTATACATTCTTTCACCATGACTACATAAAAAATACAGTCCGTCCATCCTTCCCTCCCTCCCTCTCTCCTCCCTTCCTTCCTCTGATGCACTTCTCAGTTTAGCAGGGATTTAGCAGAGACTTTGAAAAGCCTCAAAATAAACTATTAAAACTAGGTTTCAGAGAAAGGTAAGTGCACATACACCTTACTAAAATTAATGAAGTTCACCTCTGAAAATGCTTACGGCTGCAATTCTAAGAACACTTTCTTGGGAGTAAGGCCCACTGAATAAAATGGACTTACTCCTTAGGAGACCTTCATATTATTGCTCCTCACATCCTATTATTTCAGTCAATTCTGTTTAGATTGTGCCATTAGGTTAGCAGTTGTGTATTATTATATGATACTGTTCCCTGTATGATACTCAGGTCTTTTGTTCCGTTGTCATCTCTGCTTAGACAGATTTTGCATGTTTTTGAAGCATTATAGATATCCAGATACAGAGGTGATACTGGGATAAATAGCATCTTCTGTAAGCCCCAGTCCTAAGAAGTAAGCCAAACATTTTGAGAATATTTGAATTAATTTGGGACTACATTAATATGAATTTATATAGTTTGGCTTTTAATTGCCAAATATTGTGAGATCTAGACAACATGTTTTAATGTAGTTTATTAATATTGAAGTGTTGTTGCTATCAGTGATTCTGTGTATTGCAATAGGGTTTGTACAGGAGACGTTCGATGTGGATTGTATCCCACTTTATTGCACAAAGATTTCTCAGTGTTGCTCTGGCAATGATGGGAAATCCTCCAACCAGCATAGGCTATGACATGAGTTTGCTTACTTCATTGCCCTGGAACACCCACATGTGCAGCATGTTTGGAGATAATGCATTTCATGTGCACAAAGTTTTTGCAGATCTTGAGAATGGTCAACTCAATTAATCCCCCTACAATTTAGCATGAAAGCCACAATTGCTGGTGTTGACACCAAGTCATTTATTGGACATTCAAATCATCTAGCTGGGTCAGCACACACAGCTAACTGCAAAGCCAAGGTCCTATATGTTAAATAGTTCTATCCCTTTGTTTCTCCCATTCCCGCATCAATGATCTGATAAAGTCCTTTGACACATATAATGAATGATGCCTTTCCTGGCCTTATCTCATTTGCCCTTTTCATGTGCTTTTTCCCCACACCCTCTATTTTATTTCCTATCATGTCTCCAAGAATATAATTTAAAAGATCTCCCTTGATCTTTAAGGAAGTCATGCAGATGAAAATTATTTTAAAAATGCAGTCCAGGGTTGCTTTTCTTATCTGGTAAGCAGAATTCTCATATTCTCTCTCTGCAGCTACTGCTGGATGTCTTCTTTCCTCTGACACATGCTGCTAGTGTTTGTGGAATTAAAAATAAACTTGAGGCAGTGATCAGGGGGTTGCTGAATGGACCACATGCCCCTGGCCAGCTTTCAGTGAATGATGTCAAGTACCCCCTGGTTGAAAGTCTCTGCTTTCCGGGGATTTAAATTCCTCATTTCAGGATTTCCATAGTGTGAGAGCTAGGTGGTGTGTTGTGCTGTCGCAGAAATACAGGGTGGCGGTATTACACTGCATTTGCATTAAGCAGGGAGTGTAAACAAGGTGGGGAAAGTAAAACAAGAAAATATTTGGATCCTGCAGAAGATTCTGCACACTCAACAAGGTTTTTAGTCCTGTGTTTCTTGAACAGCAGTTTCCAGTGCCACACAGCAAACCACTTCTGAAACAAAGGGATTTGGGGCACATCTGATAGTTAATTTTAAAAATGTCAAGAACATCCCTAAGATCCTTGGCAGGACTTAATTATCTGTTGAATTCTAGCCAACATTTGAAGCAATCTGGCCTGAGCACCATGCCCAGCCACACTCAGTCTGTCTTCTGGTTGCCCATAGGACAACATTGTAAACAACTGTGTGATAGGGCAAGAAAGTACCCCCTTTTAGCCTATCATAAATCTTGACATGATGTGTAAAGGGCCAGCCATGGGGGGTCACATTTAAAACTTTGTCATTTTATATTTGCTAAAATCAGTTCTACCAACTCCTTGGGAATCACAGACCCTTCTTCCAGAGACAGTGACAACTCCCTTTTTATCATTTCCTGACACCGCTATGCATCTCACAAAATAAAAATGCCAGCATTGGGGAGGGGGTGTTTGGCCTTGTTTTAATACACTACTCTAGAAGGCCAAAATTGGAACTGGTGGGATGTGGCTACTCTCCCTTTTCTCTTAATTGCCACTCCTAATTGGGCAATTCCAGGCACTCACGGAGATCAAGAGAGGCTCGGGCCACTTCCATTTTTGAGGGGGGGCCCCCAGTAAAAAAATGAAGAAGTGCAAAAACAATGATACAAAAATTGTAATATTATATTTTAAATGTTTACATTTAATACAATAAGAAAAAAAACATTGTAACGCTGTAATAAATGTTCCCATTTTTATTTAAAATGGAACGTTGGGAAGGCTAGTATTTCTGTGTCTGTAACTATAACAAAATTAAGAGTTAGCATCAAAAGTGTAAATTTGAGGGGGGAGGCAAGAATGTGAGGTCCGGGCCCAAATGGCTCTGCTCTCCCCCACCCCAGGCTCTGGCCAAATCCAAAACTGCAGCTCATCCTTTTTTGTGTGTGTGTGTGGGGAATTGTTTCATGCAACTGTGTCAGGATAAATGTGTGTCCACATGCTTTTTCACTTCCTTACTGTCATCACCCTGTGATTTACAGAGACGCAGGGACTTCCTCCAGCTGATGCTAGATGCCCGGCACCTTGCCAATGACATCAGCATGGAACATTTTGACACGTTCAGCCAAGGTCTGGAGGAAAGCAAGGCAGCTGCTAACAAAGGGCTCCTGAAGAAGCAGCCCAGAACATTGAGTGATGACGAGATAGCTGGCCAAGCATTCTTGTTCCTGATCGCTGGCTACGAAACCACCAACAGCACGCTCTCTTTCGCCACGTATCTGCTAGCCACGAATCCCGAGTGCCAGCAGAAGCTGCTCTGTGAGGTAGACAAATTCTTTGCAAAACATGTGAGTAGACACCATGCTTGACTGTCTATGTTTTTTACAAAGGGGGGGGGGTGAATTGTCCAGCCAGACAGGACAAAACTACTTGGCTCCGAAGGCCTTTATAAGCCTTCAGAGCTCACTCTGGGAGCTCAGTCGAGTTCGGCTGCCCAACTCGACTGAGCTCCAAGAGTGAACTCTTTATAAAGCCTTCGGAGGTCACTCTTGGAGCTCAGTTGGGTCGGCCCAATCTGGAGGTGGGCTCCAAAGGCATTTAAATGCCTTCAGGGATCACTTCTGGGTCATGCCGCTCCGGAGTAGGCTCAGAAGGCATTTAAATGCCTTCAGAGCTCACTTCCAGGTGGGGCTGTGGCCCCATGAACTTCCCAAAGCATGAACTGGTTCGCGCAATGGAGACGTTTATGAAAGTTTGTGATTCAGGGTTCATAGAAACCACGAACCTCCACAAACCACCATTTTTTCCGGTCCATGCCCACCCCTTGTCTTCATTCCTGTCATTTCCCGCAGCCTCTCTGGGCACTATAGCAGTATAGTATTGATACACGCACACACACACATACACGTCCTGGCAAAAAGTCTGTTGGTGGTGAGGGGAGAAATGGCACCAGATGTGATCAGGGAAGTGTGGACCTCTACATCTTCCCATCCACCCTTTCCCCAAGCCCAGATTAGCAGGGTTCTGGTATCCCGTGCTCTGAAGTATCGCTAGATAGTTAGAGGTCTTTTTTAATGGGAAGAATAACAGCATTCTATTTTGCATTTATTTGTTCATTGACTTCATTTGGGATCAGTTATGGCCAAAAAACCAGCATGGTTAAGTAGTTAAAGCATTAGACTAGGATCTTTGTATAGTGGCAATATCATTCCCTGATCTGGATAGTCTATGGGTATCTGGCTCTTCTGAGATTTCAGAAGCTAAGCAGGGTTGACCCTGGTCAGTATTTGGATGGGGGACCACCAAGAACATCCAGGGTTGCTATGCAGAGGCTGGGAATGGCAAACCAACTCTGAATGTCCCTTGTCTTGAAAACCCCACAAAGTTGCCATACATCGGCTGTGACTTGGTGGCACTTAATCTCACAGGGTTTTGAGGATAAAGGAAGGGAGAATTATGTCATTCTAACTACTGGGAAGAAAAACTGGGATAAAGAATCCATCAGAACCTCCTGAGCCTTCGCATTGCTGCTTCCTTCCCAGGCTACTATGAACTTCTCTAGTTATACCTATGCCCACTTCTCCCTTCCCATTACTATTTTCTTTCCTCCATTTCTTCATCTTCACACACACACACCCTCTTGTAATATGAACTTTGATCTATGTGTAATAAATATGAACTGCTTGGTTTCAAAGCCAAAGCTATACAGCATCAGTAATTAAAAATTAGAAGCAGTGATATTAGAGGTGGTGATCAGATTTTTAAAGGCTTAATGATGCTAAGCAACACGGGGGAGGGTGGGGTAAAAGGGCAATAAATAAATAAGCAAATGAGTGAAGACAATAAAAGTATAAAAACATAAATGGCACTCAAAAAAGTAGCCCAGTGCATGATGTGTGGGCAAGGCAACAGTTACTAGAATATGGAAGAGGCGGCTGATTATGAAACTTGTGAAGTATTTGCAGCTGAGAGAGCTTTTTGTACACAAAACAATCTTATCCAACTCTGGCTAGTCCGATGGAAAACAGAAAACTTGGACTGTGGTTCTACCAAGAGATGGTATAACTTGCATGGATGGCATACAAAGGGGGAGGGTGGCTCAAACATGTAGTGTCCCAGTGTCCATGAGTGAGAAAAACCATATCCACAAACTCCAAAGTAGGCGATTGGTGGGTTCTGGGCACAAATGATTTCTATTGCCAGCTAGGCTGAAAAAAAAAGAATGCTTAATTCTTGAACAATAACTGAACAATTAAAATAACTTCTTTTATATCGGTCTGTTCCCATAGAAGTGCATTTTAACTTCCAAAAATACTTAGCAATTTCCAAAGGTTATCCTTGGAATAGTTTTCAGCACCCCTAGAGATGAAAAACTATGGAAAAACAGTTAAGAAACACTAAGGCTGAGTCCAGACTGGCAGTTTGAAGAGGGAGGGAGTTGTGGCAAAAAAAACAAACCTGGAACAACTTGTTCTGGGTATTCCCGGTCACACTGCACCGACTGATGCAGGAGCATACCGGGGTGGAGGCACAGGGAACGTTTGCACTGTTGGCCCACCCCTGGCGGAGGCATGGCTGTAAGTGGCTTTTTTTCACTCCGGCGACATGCGCCTATGCACATAGGCGCAGCAATGCAGCTTGTTTGCAGCTTTTAGCATGCACATGTCCGGGAAGCGGGATCAACGCACTCTCCAGTGTTTGCTACCACTTTCACCTGGTATTTTTTAAACTCGGGAGGGAAGCATTACAAGACAGGTTGAGTACGTCTAGGGAACGCCGGACAGCTGTGCCTGTGTGAATTGGCCGCCTTTACTCCGTTTGTGAAACGTGCCTATATCAGGCCTATATCGGGCCAAACTGCCAGTCTGAACTCGGCCTAAGTTAGGTAATATTCAGGTTTGATGTGTAGGCAGATCAGCAAACTTTCACACACACACCACATTAAAAGTTAGCAAAATAAATTAGAATTTTTGACAGCTCTTTTGCCTTCTGTTCCAGTGGCTTAAGGCGACATATCATGATAAAGTACCCAGAGCAGTGGAGGTAAACTGGACCAGTAGAGAAGCTGTGCTTTTCTATGGAGTCACTTGCACCAAATCTTCATTTTGCCCTCTAGGTGTGCTGGCCTTGGTTACTATGAAGAGTTTGGTCTCTGGCTGGTCTGCTACATGACCCATTTTAAATCACCTAGATGTCTGTGAATTTATTTTAAGTAGTAGGCTGTGGTCACACCAGCGAGGAAATGTGGGCAGGAAGCGAGGCTGTTTGCCCCGGGGCGAACTGAGTGAGTTTGCGCGATCAGACTTCCGCCCACCAGCCCCACAGTTCCGGATGATACTGACGTTTCCCTGGTGGCTTTTTATGACGCTCCTGCAGCGCAACAAGACGTCCCAAGGATGACTCCGGGACGCTGGACAGATGTGTCCATCTGATCCGCGGGGGAATCACATGTCTGTCGCAGCTTCTTGTACGTATGATCGCAGTCATAGACAACTTTAAGAACTGTGCAAATTTTATTGAATTAACCTATGAAAATTAGCCATGGCCTTTCTCCCTTTGGGGAAGCAATCTCAGGGAGAATGTCTGATCCAGAGCATGTCCCTAATGAAAGGAACACTCACTGAGCGACCCTGTATTTGTACAAATATAATTATTTGAATTACAGCCTCTCAGAACTGCAAGCAGTTGGTAGAATTTAATCATTTTAAGTGATTTCCTTCTGTTAAATATGCAAGAAGTGTTAAACTACAAACAATGCACAGTAGCATGTAAATTTGCTGTCCTCGTTTGTGTGTGTGTGTTTTTAAGGCGCTAAGATGGCTCAAATTTTGTGCCGAGGATTGGTGAGTAGGAAGGATCTGGTTAAGACTTTCCTACAGAACCATTTTTATACACAAAACTATCCTCTCTGTCTGCTTTGCCCCCACGGGGGACTGTTAGGTAAAGGTTTCCCTTGCTCAAAAGCCAGTCGAATCTGACACTAGGGTGCGGTGCTCATCTCCATTTTCAAGCTGAAGAGCCAGCGCTGTCCGAAGACATTTCTGGGTCATGTGGCCGGCATGACTAGACATCGCGGTGCACGGAATGCTGTTACCTTAGCCAGTCGAATCTGACACTAGGGTGCGGTGCTCATCTCCATTTTCAAGCTGAAGAGCCAGCGCTGTCCGAAGACATTTCTGGGTCATGTGGCCGGCATGACTAGACATCGCGGTGCACGGAATGCTGTTACCTTCCCACCGAAGCAGCACCTATTTATCTACTTGCAGTTTCTTGCTTTCGAACTGCAAGGTTGGCAGGAGCTGGGACCAGAGATGGAAGCTCACTCCGTCATGCAGCACTCAGGTCTCGAACTGCTGAACTACTGACCTTCCGGTCTGCAGCTCAGCGTCTTAACCACTGAGCCACCATAGCCCCTTTATCTTTTCCTCTACAAGAATATTGTCATTTTTTCCTCTACAAGGATAAAATTAAAAGGAAGGGCCATTTTGACTGGCAACACGACTCAATGTGAAATGGGCCAAGCATCTCCTCCCGGCCCCTGGTCTTCTGCATAAGACTGCAGCCTCTCATGGCTGCTTTTCATTTTAAAAAAAAGAAAGAAAGTGGCAATAGAGTAACCACATCACATGTAGATTGGCCTAAGTTCTCATCAGTGTAAATGGAAAAGCGATAAAAATGGTAATGTTGCTCAACATGAACTAGTGATAAATTACTTTGGGCTCCAGGCTTTAATCCATTTTAAACACTAGAATCATCAAGCCTGAGACAAAAATGCAAATCTTCTGCCCTTCTTATATGAGACTTAAGGGCACACCACCTGACATCTGTGGCCTGACAAAAGGCCCACATAGACCTGCTCTTTCACAAATCCATCGCACACTCCTCTCTTTACATTGCATTGCGCACTTTTTATATAATGTGCTTTCCTGGGAAGTGGAAATAGCTAGAAGGCAAGGCAACTGTAAGTTATCACCAAGTGTTCACACATTGAAGGAGAGCATGACCCCTCATTAATTTAACACCACAGGCATTAGAATCCAAAGTATAACGTTAAGTGATGCCTTAGAGAGGAGTCTTTCCAGCCCAGAGTCTCTGTCTTTCACACACCCACACGGCAAGAAGTGTTTGTTTTGGTGTGTGTCAGCTCACCTAATCAAATACTTTATATTTTAAAGCTGTTTATACAGTGAATCCCCTTAACAGCAGAAGTTGCTTTCTCCCTGCATTAGAGAAAATGGAAGTGAAAGTTTCAGCGACACTGCTGTCAAGGAACAACCCACAACAATTTGCATGTATTTGGTGCCTTTTGTGCAGTCTCTCAAGGCGCTTTACACTCAGACGCTGGCAACTACAGAGGCTAAGTTTTGCT